GGAACAAAAACAAGTTGGCCGGTCTGCCACCGCCCCGGCGTGGGAAGAGAGATGTGCCGCGTGCATGGAAGCGTTTTGGGGAGGAGCAGGCACCCCCCCGCCGGCGACCAAGGGATCGCTGTGGCTTCTGCTTTCAGGCCACTCTGGCATTTCTAAAACCTGACAAGCAAGAAAAAGAACTGCTTTTTGGGGCCCGACGTACTAATTGAAGCCGGATCCTTGGGAGTCTGCCGGCTGTCTCCTCCCGGGAGCCGGAGAGGAGCGGGTCAGTTAAAGTGGCTGCTCCCTGGGGTCATGCTACGCCGCGGCCGCTTGTGCCAGCAAGCCAAAAGCTGTCTGATGTAAACATGGCTTTTGTTTCCCAGGGAGCTGCTGTTGTATTCTCTGGTCTTCTCTCCCCAACGGCATAGAGATTTCAGCCCAGGCTGATGCCAGGGGCTGAGAAATGAGAGCAGCGGCTCCGTCCCCTGCCGCAGCACAGGGAAACAGCGGGGAAAGGCGGGCGGAGCGGGCTCTCCCTCCAGGACTGCAGCTATCACCAGCAGAGCCCTGCTCCGGGTGGGAATGGCACAGGCCACTGTCCCCAGGCCAGGGACCTTGGGAGGCAACGTGGAGAGCTCGGCTCTCTCCGGCTGGGGCTCCCACGGTGGGTCCAGACCTGACCCCGACCGCCCTCGGCCGCTGCGTGCCCCTGTGCTGCGCCAGGTGAGCCAAGCCGGGACAGGGAGAGGGGGCCAGGAGCAGCCTCCAGTGCAAGTTGAAGAGTCACAGCCTTTCCCCCAGTCGCTGCAGGCTGGACAGACAGCACCCGTGTGTCTGCAGCTGGGGCCGAGGGGACCTCTCCTCCCAGAGCCAGCCCGGCTCAACAGACGCCCGCAGACCCCGCAGCAGCTGGCAGAGGAGCCGGGAGTGGGGAGGAGGGCAGCGGAGCCATGAACACCAAGGCGTGCTGACGGTAGTGAGCCACGGACAGCAAAAATAAATAAGGAGGCAGGTGACAAAGTGCGCTTACGCCCTGTCCCGAAAAACGGCCGCTCCTCTGCTTCCTTCTGCCACTGGCGAGCGAGAGAGAGAAGAGCCAGGTAGCTCTCTGCACGCAACCCCTTCCCGAGCAGAAGCGGCAGGGCAAGGATTAACTGCGCCAGCTGAATGAGGACATTTGCATTAAGTTAATTAAAAAAAAAAAACAAAAACAAAAAACCACCTTTACAAGTCCGTGACACGTTTCCCTCTTTCCCAGATCTGCCCCAGTGAGTGAGTGTGTCGGGGACACTTTGGCAAAGCAGATACTTGGGTGGGACAGGGCAGCAAGGGAAAAAACATCAGCTCCGTCGCTTCCTTCTCCGTCCCGTTATCCCGCAGTTCAGAGAAATCCTCTCCTTACAGCTCCTGTTCGCACCCCGCACGCCAGAGGGTCTGACGCCGCTGTCAGGACAGTTCCCAGCTTCACGGGTAGCGGGGCCGATACGGGTCCTTCCTCCGGCTGTCCGTTGCCTGTGTTTCTTCTCCAGGTTCCCTTTCACCCCTCAAAACCAGAAGGGTTTCAAAATAACAGAGTCAGACAACAAAGCATTGCTGCCGATTTTCTTTTTCCCTGGTCCGCTGGCTAATTCACCCACCAATCTGACGCGATGCTTCCTTGTGCCTTCATCAAGAGCAAAGACGTTTCGAGTCCCTCTTTATCCTCTCAGAGCACCAGATCCACACCCATCGACGAGCGCACAGCCGGCGGCTCTTGGCCGCCCTTACTTCACTTCCAGGATGGAGGGATTCGTCTCCATGATGGCCACGATGATCCTGTCGATGTAATCCTGCAGGCGGAAGTTGATCTCCTCTTGCTTCTGAATTGCTTCCATGAGCTGCAGGGGAGGGAGAAAGGGAGCGAGCGGTCACAGCCTGCCGCTGCCCAGGGACAGACGCGGGGCTTCTCGCGGCTCTGTGGACCCACGGAGGTTTCCCCCCTTCCTCATTCTGGCTTGGGCTGTTCCTGGCCATGTACAAGTGTTTCACGGCGTGACTGCCAGGGACCAGGCGGTTCGCCAACGACTCCCGCAGGCTCCGTAACACCCAGCTGAACTCCCTGTTCCCGGCCTGTGGGATGCCCTTACCCCCGACGGGTCTCCCCTCACAGATGCTCCTGCAATCCCCAGATCTTCAAACCGTGCAAGTGGGTGCTCAACCACAGAAACCAGAGCCCCAGGTGGGGAGCGTAGGCACGGCAGGCTGAGCCTGGCACCCAGATGCCCAACTGCTAGGGGAATATGTACTGGTATCTCTGGGGCTCCCCCCAGCCTTTCTTCCTCCTTGAGCAGGCTCTGGCCCAAGATGAGGAGATGTCCTCAGCTGCTGGCCCTGCTCACTCCTGTCCGTCCTCAATTTCTCAGCCAGATGGGACCGTGGAGAAAGCGGGGAGCATCGCATCTCCCTTTGGCCCCCGAAACATGTGTGTTTTCCCATTACACTTCTCGGGGTCTGAAAGATATAATTCTGACACTTACACGGGCTCGCACACCAGTATCCAGGGTACAGCCATGGAGCAGGGAGAGCACGTGCCAGAGAAGCCAAGATCTTTAAGATCTGTTTTAAGACAGCTAAGGACAGACACACGCGCTCCGTGCTCACTGGTCTGTCCCAGGAAGAGGAAGGCGGTCACAGGGCAGGCAAAGCGGAGCTGCCAGTATCAGCAAATTAGAAGGGAGCAGCTTCCCCTATTCCCATGAAGGAGGGCTGGCAGGCAGGGTGAGTCCTGCAAGCTCTTCAAATAGTTGCGTGGGTATTTCTTTGCTCACGACAGCTTTCAAGTGCATTTTGGGAGTGAGCTGTACCACAGACAGGGCCACATCAGCTCCTCCCAGGCCCTCGGTTGGCTGAGAGAAGAGGAGATGCACCAGCCATGCCGGGAAGATGTGGTTTGAGGTAAGCAGTACCCCGTGGCACATACCTCGTCTCTGGAGACTGAGCTGATCTCTGCTGCCAGGGATTCAGAGAAGGAGGCTGAGAAGAGGTTCTTGGCTCCCTGGATGCTCAAGTTAATGATCTGCCCGTTCAGTTCATCGTTCTGCTCCTTCAGGCTCCTGTTATCCTGTTCACAACAGACAAACATCAGACGGTGCTGAAGCACACGGTGCCCCCAGAGCAGAAGCAGCCAGGGAATGCAGGGGCTTTCGTCCTAACCAGCAGCTCACGCAGCACTGGGAACAGCACTCTGCCTCCTGACTCCGATTTGACAGAGCCTGGAGAACCTCTGGAAACACACAACGTGCTGGGGAGATCCAGGGGACACAGCAGAGAGAGGGGCTCTTGAGTGTACATGCCGTCCTTCAGAGGAAGGAGCCAACCTCTCCTGTCCCAGGACAGGAAAGCAAGAAAGCAGTGGGCAGCCAGATCCACAGTCAGCTCCTCGGGAGGGAGCCCCCGGGCCCCCCCGACCACTCCTCGGTGTCAGGGAATCGGCATCCCCTTTTGCAGACCGAGTAGCCAAGATGCTTCCCTCCCTGCCCAGCCCTGCCTACCTGCTTGAGCTGCTTGATCTCTTGCTCCAGCTCCGTCTCCCGCGTCCTGCTGTTGTATTCCTGGAGCCCCATGCTGCTGCTCCTGCCTCTTCGCTGCTCAGCTTCCAGTTTGAAGAGTTGCAAGTGCTCGAGCTGCTTCCTGAGGTCCTCAATGAGCTGCAGCACAAGGGAAGGGGACAACCGAGTGCTGCATCTCCTGCATGTCCTGGTCATGGCTGGTGTGACAGATGGGCTGTCCCCCAGCTGGGAGCAACCCCATCACTGAACAGACCCTTTCTGGGGATGCAGATGGCTTCCCCTTCCTCCCCCACACCTCTAATGAACAGGAGAGGGGAAGCTACTTAAATACATGAGAGCAGCCCTGGAAGGACTTTGTTGGAGCACCAAAGACGCTGGCTCCAGGTCTGCAGCAGACAGACAGACCCCCCCCTCCGGCAACGTGGGCACCTGCTCAGGCAGCTCCCTCCTGCCACAGCACCGTGAATCCCCATCTCACCCGAGTGCTCTTAGCATCGCCAAAATGACAATAATTTCCACTTTGAGGCCCAAAGCTCCTTTTCTACCGCAACAGCAAGCCCTGCTTGAGCCTCCAGCTGGAATTACCATCCACACAGACACCTGGAGGGGGCTGGGGGGGGCTGCGTTTCTGCCCCCAAGCACACAGGAACTGGCAGCTTTCACCCAAGCAGCCTCGCAGCCCTCTCCTCCCACCTGCTAACGCCTGCTGGCTCCACGTGCCATCGTCACCGTGCTTCTGCCACCGCTCCTTCGACGCAGAAGAGAAACGGGCCCTCGCGGGAAGGGGCCAGGGTGGCACAGCCCCACTGGGTTTGCAGATGCAGACACGCTCGGCTGAATTTTAACGCAGGCAAAAGCGACGTATGTTACATAGCTAAGCTGCTGTACCACCTTTCTCTGCCCAGGCAGGACCAAATGCTCCAGTTGTACCTATTTTTGGAGAGGCTGCCAAGGCCAGCGTCCCCACATAGCCCTAATTTGGGGGACTAGCAGGACAGGGCTGTGGCAGGCAGCCCCAACTCTACTTACCTCCTGCGTCGACTCCTTCTCCTTCTGAAACTGGTGCCTCTCCTGACTCAGCTTGTCCCCCATCTTCCTCTTTTTCTCCTGCTCCTCTGTGAGCTGCACAGTGAGGTCTTCGATCTCATCCAGCAGCTTCTGCTTCTCCTGTAACAACACGAAAGGCAATAGTCACAAGGCGTGTCTTCCTTCGGCGCTGCCAGGGCTCTTCCCACTCGCTCAAGGACACGGCACACGCTGAGCACCGCGGGGAAGGCTCTTCTCGCTGACGCATTTGGATGCTCTGCCTGCTGGGATCTCAATTTGCTGTCTGAGAGCTTCAGAGCTCGAGTGCTTTGGCAGCACCAAGAAGAGCCACACACCAAAATAGCACTGCTAAGAGAGAGGTAATAAGAGATGACTCAAGAATAAGTGCACACAGGCAAATATCCGCACTTGTGCGGCTTTCTGGGCAGCGCGATGCTGGCGTGGGATACGGCTTGGGTGGGACTGGGGCCAGCACGGGGGCTACAGGCCAAGAAGAGACATTAAATCATAAGGCTCCTTAGGTCTGAATTTCAGAAAAGCCATGAATCCAAGATCTTAAGCCACTCTAGAGATGCTCATTCTCGGTTTCAGATATGAAAGAACTGAACTGAGGACTGACCCAAGAAGGAATATGACCAATTTAAGCCAGGGTGTAAAACATACAGCCCAGCTCTCCCCCTCTGTCCCCTTCTTATACTCAAAGCCTTGGCTGAACGTTTGAGATGGCAGGTAAAGCTTGTCACTTGGTGATGACAACAGCCCTGCGCAGGACACTTCCCTGTACGGCAGCACCCTTCTGCCTATGACCAATTCACCCCCTCCCCAGGCTCACAGCTTCCAGCCTGGCTCTTCCCACGAGGAAGGTTTTGGCTTTCAGAAAGCCAAAAATGCCACGAGACCCCAGCCAACGCTGGTGCTGGATGGCCCATGCCACGAAGAGGTGAGGAGCAGCTCTGAGGGGGAGCTCCAGCTGCTGGGTCTGGGGTGTCCTGGTCCATGCAGCAGAGCACCAAAAGCACCACACCAGCGGGAAACGCAGCGCTGACAACAAAATCCTGATTTCAGACACTGGACAAGACAGCAGTTCATCAGCAGGGCTCCTCTCCTCGGCACAGAGGGGCAGCAATTGCACCTCTCACTCCTCGTTAATCCCATTAACTGGAGAAAAGCAGCACCGCTCTGCAGAGAGATTAAGGATCAAAACCAACGTCGCGTGGCTGAAACACACCTAGGCAGGAAATTCATCCTCAGACCCACAGTGGTTTTCCTACCCCCAGCCTCAATGCACTGTGCTTACAAGGTCTTGACAGACAGAGACCACTTCATCCTGGCCGGGTCAGGTAGAAATGGAGCTGCAGCGCTCTCCCGCAGGCTCAAAGACTGTGAGTGGATGAAATGCTTGAGGGCCTTCAGCGGGGCAGAGAGGTTTGATTTCACTTAAATTTTAATCTTACATCTGCCACAAGCTTGAGCAGAAACAAAACGCAGCCTTGGTACCAGATGTTACACCTGTAACCCACATTCTCTCCAAAAATGAGGATCTCCTCCATCCCATGGAGACCACGGCGCCTCGGCAAGCCTCCCACCCCAGCCCTGTCAGCAGCTGCACGGCCTTGAATCCTGAGCGGAGCGAGAGGGGAGAGGATCTGGGAGATAACACGGTGCTTTGAAGACTCAACTCGCAAATCCCAGTGAGGGCGAATCTGCCCGGGCAGGACGCGGAGATGAAGCATGCCTGCTCCTCTTCCTCCCTTGCAGTGGACTGTCCCGCTGCGGGCTGCAGCCGCAGGGATGGGGACAAGCTTCCACAAGAGGGCACGAGTCCCCTCCTAACCAGCCAGGACAGGGCTGCCACCGCTGCACGCCGTGGCTTCACGCAGGCTGCGCTGTCACAGAGAGATTTATTAGGGGTTTGTTAATCCCAGCTTCCAAGCCAAACACTGGGAACCTGCACGGATAAGCGGTATGGGACAGCTCTGGTCCGAGGCGAGGTCTGCAGGGACTGGAAGGCAGAAGCAGCTGATTTGCTCATTTTGTTACATGGATCTCACGTAGGCCCTTCCCGTAAATGAGAATTTCAGCTCCAGCCATGCGAGGCAGCAGGTGGGAACCCAGAAACACAGGTCCGGCTTGGGGACCCCAAGCACGCACGGTCCTCACCTCCTCTAGTCTTTCAATGTTAGCTTTTAAACAAGGGACGCAGGATCTCAGCTCGCTGTTCTCATCATCCAGTTGCTGCAGCCTGCAACAGTAGAGAGATGTTTAAGAAACTCACCCAAGCGTCCCAAGTGTAGGAGACTTGCTTGAAACGTCACTAGGAATATTAAACCAGGACCTGCTGAAGGCAAGCCAGCAGGGATTTATCTTTTCAAAGCAAACCCCGAGACTTCCACTATTTCTACTTCCAGGGGAAAAAGCGGGGATCCACACGACTTCTGGCAAGTCCGCTGTCCAGTGCCATGCCCTTCTCAATCAGGTCAACGCTATTCTTTAGGCCAAGGGCTTCATCAGTCCACGGGCAAGCCTCAGCACTAGGCACCAAAAAGCAGACACATGGCCTGGGCAGAGTCAGAGCAGGGGTTCAGAGAGGGCTTCAGCTTTGCATTCGCCAGGTAAAGTAACATCCGTTTGTCACGGTAACTGTCCTACTACAAGCCCAGTAAAAAACCCCACTGCCTTCATCTTTCGTTTACTGCAAGGGTTGAACAATAGCAAAACACATTCTGGGAAAGCAGCAAAAAACCTGTCAAATAAATGAAACCTCTCCCACACCATTTTTTCCTTTTGGAAGCCAACAGGCAGCATGAAGCACCCCGTCCGGGACACTGCCTCTCGGACAACTCTTCCTTCCCAGATATTTGCCTGTTTCCATGAAGGTGGAAGACAGCATCAAACGTACTTCCATGGGTCTATTCATGGGAACAAGCACTAACAAACCACCTCGTCGTTCACACACTGTGGGGCAGGCACACGGAGAGAGGATGTGAGCTAAATCTAAACTGCATCAGGGAAATTCAAACAAAGAGTCTGAGACCAGGTTCACGGAGAGGCTTGATTTTGGAATGAAGGTAGGAGAAGTAGCCAAAACTCAAGGTTTATAATGACTTTAGTTACACCTTTAACCAAGTTAACTCACTGTCTACCGTGCTTTGTCTCCCCAAAGGCTGCAGTTGCAAAGCGGCAGCCTGTACGTGTATTCCAGCACGTACACGTGGGTCCAGGAGACCTGCCACCACCCAGCCCTGCCCCAGCCCCACCTGGCCTGCAGGTTCTCAATCTCAATGCTCTTCTCCCTCTCCATTTTGCTCAGCAGCTCCCTCTGCTTCTTGATCTCCTCCAGGAGTGTTTGGTCAGCTCTCAGCTCCTGCTCCTTCAGCTGTTCCTCGAGAGCATTTGCTCTGCAGAGAGGAGAGAGAGAGGATTAACCATTCCTGATGGCTCACCCCCGGCATGCTGCCATCCCAAGGGAGGGATCAGACTCTCTTCCCAGCCTTTCTCCCACCGCACAGGAGAGCTGGGAGCAGCAGACCGTAAAATAGAGCAAGCTTTCAGGGAAGCCCACCTATCGCCATCTCAAGCAGCAGGTGTATGAGGGCTTCACTTCGTCCCAGCAGATGCAGTGGGAAAGCAACCCGGTCCATGAAACCCCCAAGGACACTACTGCTGACCAACGTGACAGTCAAATAAAATAAGCCAGGTGGTACATGCTGGTATCGGCTCTGTCTAGTTTTTTTAAGTCTCCAGGCTGCATCAAAACCCTTTTTAAGGGGGAGGCCAACAAGGGGGTGAGGCGAGGGTGAAAGCACAGTAATCATTTTATAACCCACAGTCTGTGGGTCACAGTCACAGCATCACCCAGAACGAGCTACTTAATCGGAATCTCATGGAATCATAGACTCATTTAGGTTGGAAAAGACCTTTAAGATCATCGAATCCAACCGTAAATCCCAGGGTTGTGGTTTCACCTGTAGTGGCCACGGCAGAGAAATCCTCCTTCAGCCGTTTCTAGCATTTTGGGCTCCTTTACTCTGCCCTGAAGTAGTCTCGTTGCCCAGAGAAAGGACGACAACAGCCCCAATCCTCCTCCTTTTCACTCTCTCATGTCCCCAGCAAAAAACACGGGATCTGCAGGTCAACCCTCTCTGTGTGCCAGCATAACAGCAACTTCCACGCGGTCCAGAGACTGTGACAGCGCAGGCAGCGGCCGTGTCAGCTCAGACAGGACAGAGATATTTGCCAGCACGCCTACCTGCCCTCCGAAGCAGGCAGAGGTAGCCCACGCTCCTGCGCTGCAGTAAATCACCCGACCCCGGCAGTGGTCCGAGAGCTGAGGTTCGCTAGGAGGCTGGCGTGCTGGAGTTTATGCAATCGCTTTGCATAGGCAGGTGGGGAAGGCTTTTGCCAGAAGAACCTATTCTTCAACCAGCAACGAGTACACTTGGGGCTTTACTTGATTAAAAGCCGACTGACACTTCTGGGCCAAGCCGCTAAAGTGAAAACATTTCCCTCGCTGCGAAGTTTATCAGGGCTTAGAGAAACCTTTGTTTGAATCGCTCGGTTCCCTGACACGATTGTTACTTAACAGTCTTACAGCCCTATAGATAAACTCCTGCTGGGTTTATGTGCCAAGGGTAAATAAGCTGCTGGAAGAGAGAAGCCTGCCGGATTAGTAAAGACAGCAATTACATCAAATGGAATCCAAAGGGCTACACCCCAGCCAGGATCCGAAAGCAACAGGATCAAGGCTGGCTGTGGGGAGGGTAGAGATGGGTAGTAGGGACCCTGCTGTACATTCCATCCAGACCTAACGGGTGAAATAAGGGCCAGAAAGAGTCCATACAGAGCGAGTATGAAGTATACATCCTCCCTGAATGGGAAGCTTTCCAAGAAGCATGACGCCCCTGCGGTCCTCTGAGCCAACCCCTGGAGCTCCAGAGCTCCATGGAGACCTTTCAGGATGGACACTTGGGGCGGGGAAGCACATTAAAAAAAAGATAGAAAAAAAAAGGTCTAAAAAGCACTGTTACAGTTACATGCATCCGAGCAGAACATTGCAAAGGAGGTATCTGCCATTTGTCCCGGCTGAGCTGCAAGCCGTTTCCTGCGCTCCTGGGAATTTCCCAGAGACCCCGAAAAGCGCGTGCAGGATGCCGTGATCCCAGGCACGGCCCTTGTGCGGAGGGGGCAGCCTGAACCCCGGCTGCTCTCTGCCAGGGCGGGATCGGATCGTCAAGGGCAGAGCTGTGAAGCTTTCCTGCTATTTTCTGTCCGTCTCCCTCCTCTCCTGCTGCCTCCTTTCCCCACACGCTCCGGCAGCTCCCGAGCAGCTCCTGCCTGCGTGCAGGCAGGCAGCTGGCCTGCGGGGAAGGCACAGGGTGCTGCTGTACGTGGAGGAGGAAAAGAAAAAGGCACCACAGGCGATGCTAAGCTGCCTTTTGGCCACGGCACAAGCTGGGCTCCCTTACCTGTGCACGAGCTGCAGGTTTTCTTGCTTGAGGCGGCTGTGCTGCTCGCCATTAGCAGCAGTGTCCTTCTCCAGCTCCGTCACCCGCTTCTCCAGAAAGACTACCTGTGCGAGGGGAGAGGGGAGGATCAGCCGCCCGTGCTTAAACCCGCTGGCAAAGTGGCACCAAGTGCCAGAGCAACTCCCACCACCTCCAGCACGCCGTGCAGGTGCTCTCCGCTCGCTTCGGGGCTGCCTCGGTTTGTTGCACCGATTCAGAGCCGGTCACCCCGACACAGCTCCTGGCATTACCTGCGTCCCGCTCTTCACTGCACAAGGCGGCCTGAGCTGCGGGAGCCATCACTGGGGCTTGCTCCTGGGCGAGCTACTTACAAATAGCTGGTTGCCACTGGAATCAGGTAGCCATGCCTTGATTTAAAGCATCCTTTTAAAACATCCTTTTAAAACATCCTTTTACACCCCGGTTTCTCTGTTTTTGATGTTTTCGAGCTACTTAAATAGCTGGTTGCCACTGGAATCAGGTAGCCATGCCTTGATTTAAAGCATCCTTTTAAAAATCCTTTTAAAACATCCTTTTACACCCCGGTTTCTCAGTTTTTGATGTTTTCTCAGTTTTTCTCTCAGTTTTTGATGTCTCCCATGTACCAATACGGGGCCAAACGCTTCACTCTTTCCTTTCTTCATACCCTTCATGATGATATCCTACATGGAGGTCTAGAGGGAGGGACCCCAGCTGGATCACCAGAGCTCCGCTGCATCCAAGTGCAGCCCTGAGGCTGGGGATGGTTTCTCAGTTTTTGATGTTTTCTCAGTTTTTCTCTCAGTTTTTGATGTCTCCCATGTACCAATACGGGGCCAAACGCTTCACTCTTTCCTTTCTTCATACCCTTCATGATGATATCCTACATGGAGGTCTAGAGGGAGGGACCCCAGCTGGATCACCAGAGCTCCGCTGCATCCAAGTGCAGCCCTGAGGCTGGGGATAACCGCCCGCTGCCTGAAACAGGACTGAAGGACCCTGGATTCACAGCTGTATGTAAATAAAGCCACATGGGAGGAAACAATGCTAGCTGGTGGGAAAGGATCGGAGATGAGTATTTTCTCCCTGTACCTATACGGGGCTTTTTTCAGCTGTGTTTGCATTTTCATTCACTTTCCCTAAATAGCGCACAACTTTGAAGAGCAAAGAGGGCCGGGAGTGCCCCTCTACTTCCCACCCAAGCAGGAGCGCGGGTGGGTGGGAAACTGCAGAAGGACAGAGTTCGCGGTCCCAAAAATCCCATACACCCATACAAGAACAATCATGAAAGAGAGGCAATTAGGAGCACGTCTGCAAAACCCGAACCATCGCTCTGGGGAGAAGGGCAAGCGACGTGCAAGTGTATTAAGAAAAGAAACATGCAGAGACACAAGGCCTTTCCCAGAAGTGCATACACGGTTTCCCAAGCCAGATGCCTTCAGGAACGTGAGTGTTTTATTCAACTTTCAGACTTGGAAAAATGTTGATTTTTAAAAATTTTTTTAAAGGTAATGCATAAAAGACAGTTATAGCAGAGTGCAGCCACACACATATGTATTTCTCTTTCACATTCTGCTCCATGCGGCTATTTGCGATTCCAGAATTAAAAAGCCATTTTCAAGGAGTTTCGGGACTGCAGCAAATGCTTACACAAGCCACAACTCACCTATCTTTACCTTTCCTGCTTTCCCTTAGCTATTTTTACCTGGGGGGGCTCAAACAAAAGCTTTCTTGTGCTCCTGCCCCGCTCCCATCTTGCCCTACAGTCCTTTTCTCGTAACACCCCGGTAAAATCCAACAGGACCAGCACAAAGTCAGCTTTACATCTTCACGGCACGAGCAGCAATGGCAAGAGCATGCCAAGGAAAGGAAGTCCTTGTTTCGCATCAGGCGACTTTGTTCATCTCAGAAAAGCAGAATCTGAGAACATCTTATTACGTGAAGCAGAAGTGAAAATACAGCCTGCAAACAGCTACCCCCTCCTCCTCCCGGCGAGCTGGAGGGAAACCACCCTCACTGCAAGCAGGGCAGCACGCCTCCACCCCTGGGAGAAGGCACCAGTGCCACCTCCTGACTCAACACGGGGCCTCTGCAATTCAGCTCAGAGCACTCTCATTCTCCATCCCCTCAATTCTGGAGGGCTTTGTACGTCCCGCCTGCACCGAGCTACCCAGTGCCAGCTGCGCAGTAAGAGAAGCTTCAGCCTAACTCCTGCCTGGGGATCTCGGAGCATCGCAAGCCACTACATGCTCCAGGATAGCGTAGACAGCACTGCTCTTACCTTGTCCGTGATGTCCTCTTCTGTACACTCCAGCGTATCCCGGTAAGACCCTTCCATCACCCCCACGGACAGCGTGCTCGTCTGATGCAACTGTCTATAACAGAGATAAACCATCCCAACCCACAGCAACACGAACATTAGAGCGAACATCGCAGGACATGGCAATTTCAGATGACAACCGCTCTTGCAGGATACAGTCCCCTCTCTCCCCTCCTCAGCTGCCACCTCCTTTTCCAAGGGGATTTAGTAGCACTGCTCCTTCTTGGGCTGCAGGATTTACAGCAGAGGACGGCATGGGCCAGGTCCTTCTCACCACCGCAAGCTCCAACGGGCAATGAAGCTCACCGCCTCGGCGCGCCCGGATAACAGGGCTGAGCGGGCGGCTGCTTACCGGCTGAACGAACGCGCCCTGCGAGGGAAGCGCAGACGTGGACACATGCTGCTGGGACTTCATACCATGATCATTTGTTCTTGCTCTTTGGAATGGGAAGAGATAAGAGCTCACTCTTTTCACTTTCTTTCTTTATGAACATACAAAAGCCGCATATTATCCAGCACAGAGTACTCCGCTCTAGCCACTGATAAGGTTAATAAGTGGGGAGCAGCGGGAGTAAGAGGAGGGAGGGGAGAAAAAACCCCGAACCTGTTGCGAAACACCCCAGCCCACCTCCCCGCACTGGCCACCACAGCCGAGAGCGAGCTAATCATTAGCAAGGCCTTGCGACATTGGTGTCCACAGCTTTGCAGCGATCTAAAGGACACCCCCGTGGAGGGGCTGATCTGCACTTAATCCTCCTCGTGTTATCGCTGCAGATCAGCTCCATCGTCTCGTGGCACAAGAAACCGCTATTGCCATGGGGAGGGGTGGTTGTATTCCAGCTCCGTGAACCCCAGGCAGATGCTGCCTGGAGAAAACCACTCTGCTCTGCCACTGCAACACAAACGATGAGCAGCCTGATCCACCCTTTGAAGCCAGCACTGCTTTGAGCAGGAGGTGAACAAGAAAACCACAGAGGCCTCTCCGAACTTCAGTTTTCCAAGGAATTTGTAATGTGGGCTCCCCAATTCACCCTGCTACACAATATGCTCATGCAAATATTCATGAAGCATAACTGGCATTTACCAAAGAGACCACAGCTGAGTACCAGCCTTATTTTGCATCCTCACCCTGAGTATATATTTAGATCATGAAGTCTCGGGCACATTTGTCATTTAAATCATGCCAAGCACAACAGGGCCTAAGCAGCTGAGATTTCTTGGCAGAAGCAGAACCTGGATAACAAAAGTCAGGAAAGAGCCCTTACCAAAATAAAAATCAATTTCTTAAAAGCAAGTGTTTTGGTATTATTCAGTAATTACAGTATCTGCGACAAAGGGCTTTCTTTGGGCTGATCTTAAGGATCTGGCTCTACTCACAGCAAGCCCCTGTTACCTCTGTTGTTACCACAAACTAAATTCGACTGCTCTTGAATTAACCAATATTTACATAAGCCCACAAGTCCCAGCCTCAGAAAAGCATCTTACAAATGCAGAGGGCCAGGAGGGCTCAATCCCCCATAGACAGGGCATCTCCGTTCCCAAAAGCTTAATTCAAATCCTCCCCAGATTTGCTCTGCCAGACACGGGACAAAAACTAGACCTAAAACAGGAAAACTGGGGACAGGCTGCTCCCTTCAACCTTCTTTCCTGCCAGTGTTTTCAACAAAGATCTAGAAAGTAAGATGACCGGAACTAGGAAATGTAGTATCAAGGACCCGCTTCCTCGCCAGGAGGGGAAATCGTGCCAGGGAAGACTTGCTGACCGCAGGAAAAATGGAGAAGGGAAAGGTGTGAGAGCACAGCCGGGAGGGAGAGGTGTACAGAAGCTGCTCAGGTCAGCGCAGGGAGCGGATCGAGTGCCCGTGCACGGGGGTACGAGCATCACCCAAATCGAGCTGCCTGTTCCTCTGCAGCATCCCTGCCCTGCTCGGAAACGAGCAAAGAGAAAGCCAAGGACTGCAGAGGGCAATCTCCCTCCCGAGCAGGGCGGAGGCAGGCAGGACAGCTAAGGTAAGCCTCAGTATATTCTTAAAAGCACGATGACACAGGAGGGACGGTGAAGCTGGGACAGGAAAGGTGAGCATCGAGAGGGGATGGACCCTCTGCCCCCGCGATTCAGAGCAAACTCTGCAGCTTTTCCTGTGCAGGCAGGGATAAAAATGCCCACAAATGGCATCACACGAGACGGTCCCGCAGGACAGAAGCGGCACAACATTAAATCCCAGGGTGGGGTTACCTGCAGTCACACCCCACCCCCCCAAGCTGGGACAGGAAAGGTGAGCATCGAGAGGGGATGGACCCTCTGCCCCCGCGATTCAGAGCAAACTCTGCAGCTTTTCCTGTGCAGGCAGGGATAAAAATGCCCACAAATGGCATCACACGAGACGGTCCCGCAGGACAGAAGCGGCACAACATTAAATCCCAGGGTGGGGTTACCTGCAGTCACACCCCACCCCCCCACCCCACCAACTCCTCAAACCCCCTGACCGAGCTGGGAGGGCTGCTCCAGCAAAGTTAAGTGCCAAAAATTACACTGAGCAAAATAAAAACAGAGCCAAGAGTCGTCTAAGACAACTAGCTTTTTTGGGGTGCTGAAGAAATCCCTCCGAGCGGGTGTACTGACTGGGCCGGTCTTCTAGAGACTCTAGAGACCCACCACGGTGACACTGGGGAGGAGACAGCCCAGTCAAGCAGTCCAGAGGGACATGCCCTTCTAGAGAGTCCTTCCCGCTCCACGTGCCCCCCGCTAGGGCACTGGCAGGATAGAGGGGGGAAAGTACCCCTACTTTTGTCCTGGTAAAAAGTCAGGTTGACACCAGCCTCCAGCTGCGCGCATGAGTGACAAATCCTCATTTCAGAAAAACGGCTGTTCCAAACTATATCAGAATTAAACCCGCTTTTCCCCAGCGCTATGCAACGTGTCCAGAAGTACACCACTGCAAACTTATTTTGGCAGCCTTCCTTCCGTGGGCCCGGCAGCTAGTACCTCTCACCGAGCAGTAATACGAGTATGAGCTTACCTTGCCACCTTCTTGCTTGAGAGCCTTTTATGTGGACTGCAAAATGAAGGAAAAACAGGAAAGAGTTAGGAAAGCTGACAGTGGAGAGCAAGGGAAACAGGAAACTGCAAGCACTCCGGGGCACATCCTTTGCTATAGCAGGGGAGCGCCCACACGGCATGCACCACCCGCACAGCCCGGCCACCCCCGGTAAAAGGAGACGAGGAAACCGCTCACGTATTTAACAACCCGTTGGTAACGAACCAAATGGAATAGCACGGCAGAAAACCTCACCGCCTCCAGCAACGGTATCCTCTCACCGGTTGATCCCTGTCCTGAAAGCTGATCCCCAAGGAAAGTGCTAATAATAGCAGTGAGTTCGGTGGGCTTCAGCCCAGCACCGATGGCAGACCGAGCTACATCTCCCGCACCCCGCAGCGCCCCAGCCCTCCTTCCCCTACCGCCCCCCTGGGAGCTCCCTGCCCGGCGGCTGGGGGACAGGGCGCACCTCCCGCCTGCAAACGGGCACTTCCATCCTTCTGCACGCAGGTTTGCACTTCTCACGAAGATTATTCTCGCTATTTGGCTCTGGATCACCAGAGAATTGCTGCCTATGTGTAGCTCAGATTTTAGGAGCTGTTGATCATGGCCCTTTCTAGATTTTAAGCACGGGCACTGTTATAATCACTGCGGACAGGTACAAGCTCTCCTTCGCACAGATAACTGACGGAGATCACACAACCTGGCTCTGTATATGCCCGAGCCAGCTGCCACCATACCACAGCGGTCAGGGTTTAGCTAGTACTCAGCGTGACCTGCGGTATGAACAGCCAAGGTCTGCGTTACCTTGCCCCTGTCCCTCGGGACAGGGCTGCGGGCTCTCCCCGCTGAGAAAAAAAAGCCTTTTTCAGAAACAGCTACTTGCTAATATGCTCCTTCCAGTCCTTCGGTCGCGATCGATGCAGCTGCATGCTAGTGAAGCAAGCGGGGCTTGGATCTCACTCCTCATCTTCCACCCAAACACCCACTGTTGTCAAACAGATGCCACTGGGACACATCACTGATACCAAATCATCACTGAACGATGACAGCAAACACAGCCCTAGCCCAAGCGGAGAAGCAGCAATTGCATTCCCTGGTGCTTAGCTCAGTTTAAAGAAAAAAAAATAAAATAAAAGTCATCCGGGAGTCCATTCCTGCCTTGAGCTGCAACAGTTACATTAGTTCTTAGAAGGAGGAATTAAAAATAGCTGAGGACAATTTTCTTTTTTTAAAAAAAAAAAAACAACAATGACTGACCAGGGGTTGTTGTCAGGGTTACCAGCCCTCGTGTCAGAAGTGCATCCTCAAACCCCACACTTCCAAGGAGTGCAAGAGCCGCTGCTGGCCGGGCTTCAAGGACGCTCGGCACCCACCCGAGGGGAGGAGGTCAGGCCCCCGTGTTTGCCAGCAATTGCAATGAGTCATGTACGTCCCCAGCAGCGGAGGGAGAAAAAAAAATATTTTTCTCCGCAAACAGCTTATCGGAAAGCAGTGCTGGCACCCGCGGGTCTCTCTGGAGGGGATGAGACACACCACCGCCGCTTCAAGGGCACTAAAACAAAACGTACTTTTACAGAACTGGTTCATCCCAAGCTCCTGGCGGATTTCTTCCCTGCCTTCCCATGCCGCGGGCTCGGGCAGCAGCGCCCCGATGCCGGGATCAGGCCCCCCACCTTATTCCAAGTGTAAAATGCTGCATATACACCGACAGCCTTTAAGAGTGAGGCTATCACACGGCGGCTTGGGCTTCACCCCAGCTGCCAGCATCCTCTGGAGCGGGTGTCTTCAGGCTTTGCCTGCCAGGCATGGTGCGAAGCTGCTTGGCCCAGATTTTGGTCCAGTTTCTGCTGCTCTCTTCGCCTACTTGTCCCCTGCACCGAGGGCTTCATGTTGCTGGTGATGCTGGGAGCAAACAGGTCCTGCCACATCCCGTGTGCTGCACGGGGACACCTCTCACGTCCTCACCGCAGAGAGGGTGGGCGATGCCTCTTCCATCGGGTCAGTGCGCAGGGGCACTTGGAACAAGTTTCCAGCAAATTTGTGCACAGGAAACCCCGAACACAGACGGAGGAACCACACCTACTCGCCCTGAGCCCAAAGGGCCTGTGGAATTCCCACCGCAACACCACGGGACAGGGAAGCCTCCTCTGGAAATCCCATCCATCGCAGGAGGCTCAGAAGTGTTAGTTCAGCTTTGCAGGTAAATTTGGTGGAGAAAGCCTGAAATGGAGCGGGGCTACTGGTGCACCCAGGGAAGTCCAGCGTTCCCCTTAATAACTGCATAACCGGAGACCCATCACTGACCCTCAAGGCCTCCAAACGCAAAGGCAACTATTTGCCTGAGAAAGATGGAGGGAGAGAGGTGCTTTTTCCACTAAAAAAAAAAATTAGGTAAGCCCCTATTTGTTTTCCAGTTCTCTTCCCATAGCTATATGGCCCAGGAGAGCTCCCATGTCACACTGTCCCTGTAGAGGACAGATGGAGGCCAAAAGCATGACCAAAAACCAGGCTTGAAATAGCACACCAGATGCGAGCAGAATGATTATCATTAAAGCCACCATCCTCCCACCCAGTGGACTGCAAACAGGTCTGAAAAAATAAACAAACAAATAGAAATCCCTGCCCACTTGTCAAATCAGCAAGTCCAGCTGCTGGCTGGTAGAGCTCAAACGTTACATTCAAAAAGCTCATGAAGTTCCTACGCAAAGGCCCCGGTGTTTATCACATCTGCCTGGCCAGTGGTGGCACATAGGTGGGCAGGCAGCTGGCAAAGCTGGGTGAAACACGATTTTACCGCTGCGAAGCAAGCGTCTACAGGAGAGGTCCCAAGCCACGGAGAGCAAGCTGATGTTTTCAGGTTACTGCTGCAGTGGGAGGACGGGCTGTACCTGCCCTTCCAGGTTGAACCGGCAACTCAGGCGTGCCTCCACGCTGGGTATTACCGGCCAGAAGACCTGGCAGTCTTTTCCTTGGTGACAGAAATACTGTACGTGATCAGCTTACGGCTTCAAGTCCCGATGCAAGAACTGCATTACTCGGAGCGTGGAGAAGCACCCACCACTCAGCAGGACATGCAAAGAGACTGCCCAGAGCAGAAGGGAAGACTCTCATTGTCTGCCAGCCTCCGCGGCTCAGATTAAAGGAAACTTCTGCTCACCCTCCATAATGTTATTACAACCTTTACCACCTGGAGAGGCTCACCTCATTCAGTGAAATTCATCCCCTTTCGCAACCAGGAATCAAGCAACGTACCAGCAAAGGAAAGCTGTGCAAGACAAGGAGAGTCTTCCCCTCAAGAGCATCATTCCCAACACTGAAATGGCCACACACAAGCCCAATTACCTATTCATTTCAAGATCATTCAGGCGAGCAGAAAGATCCTCGAGGCGGTTGATTTGTTTGTGGCACTGGCTACAGTAAAACTCAAATGCTTCATCTGCGATAATGCTGTGCAGTTTCGCAGCGAGCGGATTGGTGCTAGAGAAATCACAAGGGTCATTTTATCAGGACAGAACAGACGGGGCTGATTTTCATCCGTGGCTTCCACAAGCTGAGCGTACGTTTGGGCAGGGGAGCTTTTGGTGTGAGATACAAGACTTGCAATTAAAAACTTCAGGGCAGATTGGGTCACCTCTCCCCTCGATTTTAGAAGCCAGATCGCAGTCAATATGGAGTTGCTATAAATCAGCAGGGCTTCCATCACCCTCCTCCCTGAGACTTACTTACAGCAGCCAAGCTTGGCTTACGTTTTCAAACCCCTGTGCCAGGCTGCTCTTGTGGGGGACCCCGCCGAGAGCCCGGGGAAGGCGAGGTGCGTGCTTTCCACAAACCTACATGGCTACAAAGTTTATCTTCCAACATGATTTTCCAAGCAACCCGTCTCGGGAGGCTCTAGCAACGGGTTGCCTCGGTAAATGCCGACCGAACTCTCACACCGCTGGACTGGGCGCCATGGGCAAGAGCCACATCCTTTGGTCATTTGCACCATCTTCCAATGGGATGCTCTAAAAAATAGATTAGCTGTGCAGCTGCGGACCCACCATTAGTAATGCACAGAGCCCGATTTTCATCGCAAAGAGCTCCCTTTGAAGCTAAGCTCAAAAAGGTGGTTGTGATTCAACTGCTGTCTCCTACGAAGCGAAGCACAGAGAGGCTGAAGCAGCAGCTTTGCCTCGTTGTAGGGAACACCATTTAGCCAGGGGACACGGGGGTCTTTAACAGCCTGGGGAGCTAATGGGTCCGATCAGCTTTTCATTTTCAGCTGCTGATGTGGAAAACAAGCTGCCGAGGCATTCACCAACGCTTGGCAAACCAGGGAGCCCTTTCCCCCACCTGACATGACCTGGGCAGGACAGAGTTTGGCCAAGGAATTCTGAACAGCAAAGAGTTTGTGTAACTTTGGGGCCAAATGTGCACCACAAATCCTTTCTGCAGGGAAACATGCTTCTGGAAGCCACGGACTTTAATCAAAGAAAGGTTAATAGTGAAAAAACAAAGCAGTTCAATAAGAAAGACAGGTAAAGGTGTGAGCAAACACAAGCAAGCTTAAAACCAAAAGGCCCGTGATACAGATACACACTGGCGAGTCCTGGCCCAGGAGATGCTGAGCGTGTGGTACACCCCAGGAGGGGTCTCCTGGCTCAGCACCTTTGCATAACCCCTCATTGACGTTTTTTGGTGGCAGCAGGGTGTCAGCAGCCCAGCCACCCCCAGGGTCAGGCCTCTGAGTTTGTGCTGTCTGTACAGTATTTCCAAGCCCCCTTAGAACAGGCAACTGAACAACAGTAAATGCCAAATTGCTCATCTCTTCCCATTCCTGGAAAAAAATAATTGAAAAACATTCCTCCTACCCTCTAGGGCACGTTTGGGCCCCGGATAATCATTATCCACCAGCAGTCAGTTCAGTTGCTCAGGCTTTGCACAGGGTAAGAGGTGACAGAAGCTTTGTGGCACCTGGAAGAAGCGATGTACCCTTTTCTGGGCTCTGCCCCCATGCTTGGCTGCACGCGAGCCCCATTCAGCAAGTCCTCCTTACCCCTGCCGGGAGGCAGAAACAGCTCACCCAGCTGGGTGCATCCCTGGGCGAGGTGTGAACCTGAATCTTAACAAGCGTTAATCAAAATGGGAAAAGAAGCGCAGAGGAGAACCCACAGGCCAGCCTGGCAACTCTTCAGGTACATACAGATATACTTGGCCTCTGGCTGCGTTGGTTGCTTGCCCGTTGAGTGGGCGAGAGCTCAACCGCACTGCGCCTCGGGGCGTCCCCACCTACCCCTCGTGGCAAGCTGCCACCCTCTGCGCCATATGCAGCATTCCTGCCTCCCTCTCCTGGAGTAACGTTCGTCTTCCACAGGTGATCGGTGCTTACTGACACAGCACATCGGCAGCCGAAACGGGTGCGTGCGAGGAGCTTTTCCTTTCGGTTGCCGTTCGTTTCCCACCAAGCGTTGCAGAGAGACTTCTCTTACCAGATGGACGTGCCAAGGAAGAGGTGGCAACCCAAGAGGAGGGATCGCAAACACACGCAAGGACTAAGCAGGAAAATGCGATACCCCATAGTGTTCCCTGAAGGCTCTTGGTTCTTGCGTTAGTCCTCTGGTGAAGATCTGGAGCTGTGGCAGGAAAATTTGTCGACGTTATTCCCACTTAGAGACTCTTGTAACATGGAAAGTGTGAGTGGCGATGTGACCGTTTACAAGCAATACTGTTCCTCCTATTCAAACCACAGCCAAAAAAAAAAGTTCGGCCTGAACCAGAGATATCCTGTAGTTCTTTCCGGTTTCACTACGTTTAAACGCACTGGGGAGGCAGGGCTGTGTTCAGAAAAACAGCACAATCTCAGAGAACAATCAGCTAAGGACCTTCACGCATGCAACGATGATCCAAGGTAAGGGCTAGACCTGAAAGGCACGAGGAAATCCTCCGTTTCAAACAGAACTGCACTCTTAACTCTGGAGGTTTTGCAGGGTTTATCTGCAGCCTGCCTCCCTCAGCAAGCCCCAGCAGTGAGTCTCCAGCATAACCACCACGAGCTGCGTGGCCATGTGCCGAGTGAGGCCCTCCCAGCAGAGGAAAGATGTTGCAGAGCACGATCTTGTGGATAAGATCCAAAGAGACAGCGGCAGAGGGGAGACGGTGCCCTGACAGAGCAAGATTTGAACACTGGGAGCGTAGGCAACCTGGGAGCTCCAGACTGACATTAAAGAAAAAGTTGAACTGATTGCAAAGCTCCTTTAGCTGAGTATTTTCTTGCCAGGAGCCTTCTGGACTAGGTTGGAGGCCCACACTCAAAGAGAAACTCAAAACAAACCCCAAGGCTGGTTTTTATCCGAGAGCACTTCCTATGCTGCAGCACCAGTACAGCCAGCCCCACTCGGCACTTCTGCAGAGTGCAATCCAAGGACAAGCGTGGATGAGTGACATGTCCCTTCCACTGCAGCGTATCCCATCCCATCAAGCGCTGGAGCACTGGTTTCCTGAAGTAATGGGTTAGGCATGCTTTACAGCAACACTCTCCTATCGCAGGTTTAGTTAACGTCTTCAAAATTGCTGCTGCACCAGCAAAGAAGGAAGGCAGCCCTGAGCTGCGGCGAAGCACACGTGTGGTGATTTGACAGCAGTTCTTCCCTGTCAGCCCTGTGCAACCAGAATTGCCCGAACTCTACGAAGGGCTTTGGGAAGCCGGTAGAAAACAGGCAGACGGCAAAAAAAAAAGTTACATCAGGTTTATACTGCTGCAGAAACAGCAAACACGTATCATCCCAAAGGAAAAAAGTATGTTCTTGTCTTCCACGCAAGCATGTGGCTAGCAGAGACCACTCCCGCCTCGTGCAGAGATGCACTGCCTGATGGAGGAACGCGTCCCCGGTGTTATCGGTCATCGCAGGGGCTTTGTGGGCTGCAGCAGTGGTTGATCATTCCAGCTTTTATTTTTTCCACACACCCCCCCTTAGAAAGTAAGTATTGACAGGTTTTGTACTGTCATACCAGCTCCTCAGTTCACCCTGCGTGGGCTGGAAGACTGACATTTGCCTGGTTTCAGACTCTAATGCAAGGAGTGCAGGAAAACGCTGCAGCCTGCTTCTTGCTCCACGTATCCCTTAGGCTGCCTAGAGAAGGAAGGCTGCCGCAGCTTGTGCAAATCCAGCCAAGCATCATATCAAAGCCAAAAATACAAGCACAGAAGAGAAAGAAGAAAATTGTCATCCAACAGGACCAGGGATAGTTTTCTCTACCAAAAGGTTCTGCGAGGAGCCACATCCCTAATAGGAGTGGGAACGTGATGCCGTCCTGGACGCACGTGAAACGCAGACTGCTCTTCCACCTGCTGCCGGGCATCAGTGCCTCTGGATGGGAGGGTGGGCACTGTTCAGGAAAAGGAAAGACTGAGGGAGGCAGCTACTCTTCCACTTCCGAGCCGATTATCCCGTTGTATCCAAAGTTTGCCAGGAACCCCCTCTTGCAGGCCGACTGGTGTGCAAACCCAAAGGAAACAACTCACACACACAAAGCCTAGGCGAAGACACTAAGCAAGTGAAAGCGGTTAAAACATGGCTGTGCTGAACATTACCTGGGAGAGAGGAACGAGGAGCTATTAAAGCTGCTTTCCCCATTACACAAGCTGTCCGAGAACAAATCTGCTTCATTCCCTTCTCCGTAATCCTCAAAATGCTCCTCTCCGCTAATGACCGTAACGATGGAGTGGCTGAGGTCCGAGCCCAGGGGCAGGTCGTGCGGATGGGATCTGTGGGAGCAGAGAGGAAGATGTCAGAGGGTGGCCACCGCAGCAGCCTTTCCAACCGCACGCGATACATCTGCTTTCCAAGTCACGTCCCCCATTTCGGCAGACCGGGCTAGCTCTTCCTTACAGCGCAATTCACCCTGTGCCTTGAACACTGAAGGGGAAGCCCAGGCGCCACCGGAAACTTTGCAGCAATTTTTTTTTCCCCCACAACAAACCAATGCTTTTTCACACAAGCTCCCCTGGCAGCTGCAACATAGGATTTGGGGGCAGTCAGGCTTGTAAGACAGTACCCAGGGTTGGTGGCAAGCCCTTGCACGGCACGGGCGCAACCAAAAGCACGGCAGAGAAAAAGCTCAGCATGTCCCAAACACACCCTAAATATGTTTTGAATTACATTGTCAGCCTATGTGCCAGGCTCACGCTCGCTTATTGCTGCATAATCCTATCAAGAGCCCAGCACCGGGGTTTAACACTGTAATGCCCCCCCCCCCCCCAACAAACCCCACCGGTTTAA